AAATAATATAAAAAATTTTAATATTAAATAAAAAATATAACTATAAAATATATTAACATCAAAATTACTAAAAACATAATAAAATGCACAAATTATAAACAAATTCTTATATTCATTTATAATTGTAAAAATTGAAAAAATTTAAAAATTTTTCTTGATTACATTACTAAAAGCATCAAGAATAGTAACAAAAAACTTTAAATTTTAAATACAGTATAAGTAATTTTTAAAGGTTAAAATTAATTTTTTTTTCCTTAATATAGCAAATGATTCAATCTCATATTTCAAATCTTGTTAAAAGCAATTAAAATTTAACATAAATGTCATTAAGAATGATTAGAACCATTCATAATTAAAATTTAAAGTTTCTTAACTAAATATCCAAAAATAGTAAAATATCAAATTTAATTCTATTATATAGTTTTAAGATTTTTAGAATGATATTTCTTAAAATTTAATTAAGAGAATCAGAATATTATTTTAAGAACAAATTAAAAATTTAGAGTTTTCAAAATAAAGTCATAAAGTAGTTATAAAAAATAGAGTTACAAGTGAATTGAAAATTTAGAATTAGAGTTATAGTTCATAATTTAGAAAGGAAAATAAATTAGATAATATATGGATATTTTATTTTTATTTTTAAATTAAATTAATGAAATTATCATCTTATAAAATAAGAAAAAAATTTAAAATGTTACAAAAAATATATTATATTATTTAATTAAATTATTATGTAATCAAATTTTATTTTGTAATAGGACGATTCGAACAGTTTGAAAATAAAATTATATATTAAATTAATTATATCGATTTTATTTAAATTAAAATTTTATTTTATTATATATATAATTTAATAATAAAAAAATACTAATTATTTTTATTATATATATTTAAAATATATATTAAAAAAATTTTAAAAGGTCAGAAACTGACTTTTCTTAGATATTATGGTCGATACCTAAAATTTTCAACTTTCTCAGCATGTGCCACCTTTTAAATGGGAAAGTTTCCAAGCGAGTGCATGAGGAGCCAGCGTCTCTATCAATACTTAATTTTTTTTAAATATATAAATCGAAAATATATTTTTATTATAAATTTATATAAAAATATAAAAATAAGTATTAATATTAATAATATTAATGTTATGTAGATAAATTTAATTAAATAAATAATAAATTAAATATTAATTTTTTATTTTTTCAAAATTTTTAATTTTATACGAATTAAAAAAATTTAATTTTAAATTAATGAAAATAGTCATTAGTGATGTGCCAATCAAAGATTTACAGGGACAAGTGACGTACCGAAACGTGAAAAAGAGTGTGGAAAGGAGTGCTCCTCGTGGCTCGTACTCTGTGAAGAAAATCTTGAATGAGATTTGAAAACGTCAGAATGGAAAAAGTCAAGAGATTTTAAATCCTAATGGCGGGATTTTCAACACAATTGACAGGAAAGGGTAGGTACTAGGTAGGGCACAGTGCCCCAGCTGAAATAAAATATAAAAAATTAATAATAAGATTTTTTCGAGTCGACTGCCTACCATGCAGCAGATCTGATAAATAAGTTGGGTTTAAAGCCAATTGTCGTCCCTCTACTTTAATATTTTATTCGTTCTTGTCCCTCTATTAAGGACATGTTCGTTGTCGTCCCTCTACTCTACCAAAGAGCTAAAACGTCGTCCCTCTACGTCGCTTTTTTTGTTCGTTGTCATCCCTCACGTAACACTGTTCATGTTGCCATCACTGCTGACCGTTAAGTCCTAAACGGTCAGCAGTTTCCCATTTGTTTTTTTTTTTTCCACATGTGCTGCCATGTGCAAGAATGGGGCCATTTTGTCCAATTTGCCTCCTTGCTTACTCAGACCCCTTACTTTCATTTTTTTTTTTTTTTGTTGCAGAGATGCCATACTTTCTTCTTTTTTTTTTTGTTGCCGGGATGCCAACAAGTTTACCTGCGAAAAAAGTTAAGTCAAGCGGGGAATCATCATTTAAATAATTTAAAATAATAAATTTAATTAAATACATATAATTTTTTAAATTTAAACTAACAAATATTAAAAAATATAATATAAAAAAAATTTACCAAACA